TATATATATATATATATATTTGGTCAACTCAAGGTGGTAAACATACCTAATACGCTTGCCTGCTGTTTTCCCCACAATAACCCTGCGAGGTCGGTTGGGCTAAGGGAGAGGGACTGGCCCAAAGTCCCTCAGCCGGCTTTCATGGCTGAGGGCGGCCTAGAACGCAAAGTTTCCTGGTTTCTAGCCTGGTGCCTTAACCACAAAACCAAATGGGAGCTCTCTTTTTATTCACATCTCTCTCAAAAATGGAAGGAATCTGTCCTTCTGATGCATTTTAAGACTACATGTATAAAACCCTGTATGGGTTTTTTACACTTTTCTTCCCTGTTTCCCCCAAACATTTTCTGCAAATGTTGCTAGTTTATAATTCATAAACTCTGATATTTCTTAGTAGCAAATTGAGAAAGCATACTTAGTTACAAACTTTGACAACAAACAGTAGAAAGGCATAATATTGGGGGGGAAATCCTATATATGTTTCCATAAGTAAATATCACTGACTCACTAGCTTGCCAAGCCTAAATATGGCTTGTGACTGAATGCACTGTGAACCCAACAAGTATGATTTGTAAATTGTGGCTTAACATTAACTTGTATAAACCTGGAAAATTATGGCCGGTTTATTTGCTAGATTTCCAGGTCATCTTTTGTACAAGAGTTTAAGGGGGCATCATAACATTCCATCCCTCAATTTTTCCCACAACAAGCTTTTGGAGTAGGTTGAATCATCTAATGAACTTTTATGGTGGAGGCTAGACTGAAATCAGGTCTAACAATCAATACACAATACTAGGACTTAAACACTGATTTATTAGGAAACTATGGTTAAGTAAATGAATGAGACCTAATACTGTGCTATCAATTTGTGTATCATTTTGCTTGTAAGCAATTAAGAATAATTGCTCATTAAACTCATTCTTGGAGCATCTGTAGTAAGAGCTTATAATATGTTAATTTCAGTTCTTACATTAGCACCATTTATTTACCATTTTAGTAAATCAGCCCTATTTAGGTGCAAATTGTGAGCACCTGGGTCACATTGTATAACCCGAGTCTTCTGTGAGAAGAGTGCTTCTGTGTTTACTCCTGCACTAACAAAGGTTTTTGAGTCTGTAGAAGCTTTTGCACATGGGTGGCCACCACAAAGGTGGCCTTTATACATAAATCTGTGTTGTGTGTTGGGGTGCCTTGGCAATACAGCACATAGTATTGGAATGTGGAGTTATGTAGCACAATCCAGGTTTTGTATATTTCCTGCTTCAACTTAGCTGATGCTTTGCAATTGTGGTTGGTGCTCTGGAGGCATTAAAAAAAGACTGCCTATCCCTCTGGTTTAATTACTGCTTTAAAAGCAATTTGTGGCTTCATATCTCATCAGGACATGAGAGTTCCTCTGGCAGATGCCATAGTAAAACACAGACCCAAAGTCTTCCATCTGATTTCTGAAACCTCCATTTAAAGGATATCTAGCAGCGGGGCTGTCGAAGACTGCAGCTTGAGACCTTGGAGAACTTCTACCAATTAAAAATAGACAATATTAAACTAGACTACCTGACCCCAGTGTAGATGCCCTCTAATATAAGCATTAAAATTCCCAGAACTCCCCAACCAGCATGGCTATTCCTCAAAATGCTGGAAGTTGAAGTCCATACAAGTTGGAAAGACTTAAGATCTGACCCAGTATGAGGCAGTTTTGTATGCTCATTAACTCAGCCGCCACAACACATTAGCCCTGATAATGGCCACAGATCATTATTAGTAACCACCCAAAGGCAACATATATTTGCATATACTAATTCATTCAGATGCAAAAATGGCTATAATTCACTGAGCTGGCAGTTGAATAGAGAGAAACAGGAATGGAGCTGATCATTGTCCTGAAAAGGTGTTGTATTTTGGTCAAATTAAATTTTAGCTGCCAGAAATGGTCTCTTCTGGGGAGATGTAAGAGATGAAATTATTGTATATGGTATAATAATTAAACATGAGTTGTAACTTCAGTTAATATGTTCCTTTGCTTTGTGTTGATGAAGGGCTGAAAGCTTTAATTTCTTACCACAATTCCTTGTCCTGCCTCAGTTCTTTACTAATGAAGTGTGGCAAGAGAAAACGGCCTAGAAAAATTATTGTAATCTAGATACATAGGAAAGTTGGGCTACTCTATGTAGGCTGCAAAAAGCCTGCTGGCAACAAAGAGTTTTCTTTATCTCTGCTATCTTATGATTATCCTGGGCAGTTTCCATTCTTAGTCTTGGTTGGGATTGTGCTTCCCCATTCAAAACTGGTGCACAATTTGGGGGTTGTCTCAGACTCACAGTTCCTGCTTGAAGTACAGGTGGCAGCTGTGGCCAAGAGGGCCTTTGCCCAAATCAATCTGGTGTACCAGTTGCGGCCGTTCCTAGACCAGGAGGCCCCTCAGTCATTCAAGCCGTAATCACCTTAAGAATGGACTAGTGCAATGCACCCTATGTGGGGCTGCTCTTGAAAACCACAGCTGATCTAGAATGCAGTGGTACAGGCTGCACTGGTTGCAATTAGCTTCCAGGTGCAATTCAGGATGCTGGTTGCCACCTATAAAGCCCTTTACGAGAGTTATTTGAAAGACTGCTATTCCTAATAATTTCTTCCCATCTAGTAAGATTTGGCTGAGTGGGTGTGCTTCAGGTCCACTCAAATAATGTCACCTAGTAAAATCCTGGAAGTGTGCCTTTTCTGTTGTGATGCCTCCCCTCTGGAATGATGTCCCCCATCCTGAAGACCTTCTGGAAGGCACTGTAAGCTTGGTTATTCTCCCAGGCTTCGGGATAGAATGGGGGCGAGTCCCTATAATATTTGGATTTGCTTGATAGTTCTTCTCTCCTGGACACACATCTCTTCTTTTGCTTTACTGTTCTAGCTATATAGAACAAAACACACAGAATAGCCCAGATGGGAAGATAAAATGTCCTGAATCATTTAGCAAACATTTTCCTTCCAGCACTGACAGAATATAGATCACTGTTTCTCAACCTCGGCAGCTTTCAGATGGGTGGACTTCAACTCCCAGAATTCCCCAGCCAGCCATACTGGCTGGGG